CATTTCTATTCATTTCTATTCATTTCTATTCATTTCTATTCATTTCTATTCATTTCTATTCATTTCTATTCATTTCTATTCATTTCTATTCATTTCTATTCATTTCTATTCATTTCTATTCATTTCTATTCATTTCTATTCATTTCTATTCATTTCTATTCATTTCTATTCATTTCTATTCATTTCTATTCATTTCTATTCATTTCTATTCATTTCTATTCATTTCTATTCATTTCTATTCATTTCTATTCATTTCTATTCATTTCTATTCATTTCTATTCATTTCTATTCATTTCTATTCATTTCTATTCATTTCTATTCATTTCTATTCATTTCTATTCATTTCTATTCATTTCTATTCATTTCTATTCATTTCTATTCATTTCTATTCATTTCTATTCATTTCTATTCATTTCTATTCATTTCTATTCATTTCTATTCATTTCTATTCATTTCTATTCATTTCTATTCATTTCTATTCATTTCTATTCATTTCTATTCATTTCTATTCATTTCTATTCATTTCTATTCATTTCTATTCATTTCTATTCATTTCTATTCATTTCTATTCATTTCTATTCATTTCTATTCATTTCTATTCATTTCTATTCATTTCTATTCATTTCTATTCATTTCTATTCATTTCTATTCATTTCTATTCATTTCTATTCATTTCTATTCATTTCTATTCATTTCTATTCATTTCTATTCATTTCTATTCATTTCTATTCATTTCTATTCATTTCTATTCATTTCTATTCATTTCTATTCATTTCTATTCATTTCTATTCATTTCTATTCATTTCTATTCATTTCTATTCATTTCTATTCATTTCTATTCATTTCTATTCATTTCTATTCATTTCTATTCATTTCTATTCATTTCTATTCATTTCTATTCATTTCTATTCATTTCTATTCATTTCTATTCATTTCTATTCATTTCTATTCATTTCTATTCATTTCTATTCATTTCTATTCATTTCTATTCATTTCTATTCATTTCTATTCATTTCTATTCATTTCTATTCATTTCTATTCATTTCTATTCATTTCTATTCATTTCTATTCATTTCTATTCATTTCTATTCATTTCTATTCATTTCTATTCATTTCTATTCATTTCTATTCATTTCTATTCATTTCTATTCATTTCTATTCATTTCTATTCATTTCTATTCATTTCTATTCATTTCTATTCATTTCTATTCATTTCTATTCATTTCTATTCATTTCTATTCATTTCTATTCATTTCTATTCATTTCTATTCATTTCTATTCATTTCTATTCATTTCTATTCATTTCTATTCATTTCTATTCATTTCTATTCATTTCTATTCATTTCTATTCATTTCTATTCATTTCTATTCATTTCTATTCATTTCTATTCATTTCTATTCATTTCTATTCATTTCTATTCATTTCTATTCATTTCTATTCATTTCTATTCATTTCTATTCATTTCTATTCATTTCTATTCATTTCTATTCATTTCTATTCATTTCTATTCATTTCTATTCATTTCTATTCATTTCTATTCATTTCTATTCATTTCTATTCATTTCTATTCATTTCTATTCATTTCTATTCATTTCTATTCATTTCTATTCATTTCTATTCATTTCTATTCATTTCTATTCATTTCTATTCATTTCTATTCATTTCTATTCATTTCTATTCATTTCTATTCATTTCTATTCATTTCTATTCATTTCTATTCATTTCTATTCATTTCTATTCATTCTATTATTCTATTCATTTCTATTCATTTCTATTCATTTCTATTCATTTCTATTCATTTCTATTCATTTCTATTCATTTCTATTCATTTCTATTCATTTCTATTCATTTCTATTCATTTCTATTCATTTCTATTCATTTCTATTCATTTCTATTCATTTCTATTCATTTCTATTCATTTCTATTCATTTCTATTCATTTCTATTCATTTCTATTCATTTCTATTCATTTCTATTCATTTCTATTCATTTCTATTCATTTCTATTCATTTCTATTCATTTCTATTCATTTCTATTCATTTCTATTCATTTCTATTCATTTCTATTCATTTCTATTCATTTCTATTCATTTCTATTCATTTCTTCATTCTATTCATTTCTATTCATTTCTATTCATTTCTATTCATTTCTATTCATTTCTATTCATTTCTATTCATTTCTATTCATTTCTATTCATTTCTATTCATTTCTATTCATTTCTATTCATTTCTATTCATTTCTATTCATTTCTATTCATTTCTATTCATTTCTATTCATTTCTATTCATTTCTATTCATTTCTATTCATTTCTATTCATTTCTATTCATTTCTATTCATTTCTATTCATTTCTATTCATTTCTATTCATTTCTATTCATTTCTATTCATTTCTATTCATTTCTATTCATTTCTATTCATTTCTATTCATTTCTATTCATTTCTATTCATTTCTATTCATTTCTATTCATTTCTATTCATTTCTATTCATTTCTATTCATTTCTATTCATTTCTATTCATTTCTATTCATTTCTATTCATTTCTATTCATTTCTATTCATTTCTATTCATTTCTATTCATTTCTATTCATTTCTATTCATTTCTATTCATTTCTATTCATTTCTATTCATTTCTATTCATTTCTATTCATTTCTATTCATTTCTATTCATTTCTATTCATTTCTATTCATTTCTATTCATTTCTATTCATTTCTATTCATTTCTATTCATTTCTATTCATTTCTATTCATTTCTATTCATTTCTATTCATTTCTATTCATTTCTATTCATTTCTATTCATTTCTATTCATTTCTATTCATTTCTATTCATTTCTATTCATTTCTATTCATTTCTATTCATTTCTATTCATTTCTATTCATTTCTATTCATTTCTATTCATTTCTATTCATTTCTATTCATTTCTATTCATTTCTATTCATTTCTATTCATTTCTATTCATTTCTATTCATTTCTATTCATTTCTATTCATTTCTATTCATTTCTATTCATTTCTATTCATTTCTATTCATTTCTATTCATTTCTATTCATTTCTATTCATTTCTATTCATTTCTATTCATTTCTATTCATTTCTATTCATTTCTATTCATTTCTATTCATTTCTATTCATTTCTATTCATTTCTATTCATTTCTATTCATTTCTATTCATTTCTATTCATTTCTATTCATTTCTATTCATTTCTATTCATTTCTATTCATTTCTATTCATTTCTATTCATTTCTATTCATTTCTATTCATTTCTATTCATTTCTATTCATTTCTATTCATTTCTATTCATTTCTATTCATTTCTATTCATTTCTATTCATTTCTATTCATTTCTATTCATTTCTATTCATTTCTATTCATTTCTATTCATTTCTATTCATTTCTATTCATTTCTATTCATTTCTATTCATTTCTATTCATTTCTATTCATTTCTATTCATTTCTATTCATTTCTATTCATTTCTATTCATTTCTATTCATTTCTATTCATTTCTATTCATTTCTATTCATTTCTATTCATTTCTATTCATTTCTATTCATTTCTATTCATTTCTATTCATTTCTATTCATTTCTATTCATTTCTATTCATTTCTATTCATTTCTATTCATTTCTATTCATTTCTATTCATTTCTATTCATTTCTATTCATTTCTATTCATTTCTATTCATTTCTATTCATTTCTATTCATTTCTATTCATTTCTATTCATTTCTATTCATTTCTATTCATTTCTATTCATTTCTATTCATTTCTATTCATTTCTATTCATTTCTATTCATTTCTATTCATTTCTATTCATTTCTATTCATTTCTATTCATTTCTATTCATTTCTATTCATTTCTATTCATTTCTATTCATTTCTATTCATTTCTATTCATTTCTATTCATTTCTATTCATTTCTATTCATTTCTATTCATTTCTATTCATTTCTATTCATTTCTATTCATTCTATTCATTTCTATTCATTTCTATTCATTTCTATTCATTTCTATTCATTTCTATTCATTTCTATTCATTTCTATTCATTTCTATTCATTTCTATTCATTTCTATTCATTTCTATTCATTTCTATTCATTTCTATTCATTTCTATTCATTTCTATTCATTTCTATTCATTTCTATTCATTTCTATTCATTTCTATTCATTTCTATTCATTTCTATTCATTTCTATTCATTTCTATTCATTTCTATTCATTTCTATTCATTTCTATTCATTTCTATTCATTTCTATTCATTTCTATTCATTTCTATTCATTTCTATTCATTTCTATTCATTTCTATTCATTTCTATTCATTTCTATTCATTTCTATTCATTTCTATTCATTTCTATTCATTTCTATTCATTTCTATTCATTTCTATTCATTTCTATTCATATTTCTATTCATTTATATTCATATTTCTATTCATTTATATTCATATTTCTATTCATTTCTATTCATATTTCTAATCATTTTTATTCATATTTATTCATTTTAATTTATTTTTATTTGATTTATTTTTCATATATCATATGAAAATAAAGCGATCTATGGGATACGTTCTCATGCACATTATCCTATATACAAAAACTTGATTAACTATATATTGCTCGCTTATGCAATGCATGTATGTAACTAGGTACCTACTAATTTAAAATGTAATTATTCGTAATTACTAAGGAGTTGCAAATATGGGCGTAAATGAGACCATTATTCTTGTTGACCTTTTTCTGGAACGCAAGTAAGCTGAAAAAGGTTGAAATCCCAAATGTGTCGGGCGCAATTGAGTCTACACCCTATTGACATGTATTTGAACTAAACCTCGATATGATACATCAATTTTTTATTCTAATACATTACAGCATCACACAAGCACAAAACGTATATAAATTTATATTCACCTTTTTTTTTGGTTCAGCTTTCGCTAGTTTATTAACTAATCTTTATCAAAGTTGCTTGTATTCCGCTTCTTTAAATTTAGCCAATATTATCATATTTTTATGCTTTAGGTACTAAGCACCAAATATTTGGGCAAGAAGCCGAATTTAAAGTTAAAATCTGTCACCATTATTCACAAATCACCCGCCGAAGCAGTAAGACTACCCACCGACGGTGAAGGCGTAACCATCCACCCCGGCGTACGTTCCAAATTACCATTAAAGCGCAAAGTAAGAGACGGCAAAACGAAAAGAAAACGAAAAAGTAAAGTTGAATCCATCAACAACAACCTCAACAGCCCAAACAAGTCGAAAGTTTCTCCCAAGAAAAAGAAAAGAGTATCAGCAGCCGTAGGGGCCGAAGAAGCGAAAAACAAGCCCGTCGATACGAAAGTCTTCGAAGTGCCAAGCAACAAAGTGAAGAAACCTTCACAAGCCAAACCCGCCAAAAAGAAGAAAAAGAAAAACGAGATTATAGACTACAGCAGCATCCAAGCGGATCTGGACGGCAAAAAGGGATCCGATGTGATAATCACGCCTTTGACTCCCGAATCGGATCCGGTAGGTAAGGTGCAAAACTGGCTGCTCAAGTCGCAGTACGCGTTGCCAAAATCGAAATCCACACCGGTCGGATTAACCGACAAGACGCGAAGGAGTCCGCACAAGCGTCCTACGATCAGACCTAGGACGGACAAAAGCAAATCGCACAGTGTTGGCAACATTCCGAACGAGAAAGAGAAAGTTCGCTTGCAAGTAGTGTACAAACCTCCGTTTAAATTTAGTGTTAAGTTGCGAAAACCGGAAAAGACTAGTGTGATCATCGAGCGCGTGCCGGACGCTGTCCGAAAGCCCGAGAAGGCTCCTAGAACAGGCGTGCTCGTGCGTACCGTGAAAGAATTAGAGAAACCTCCGGTTCCGCCGGCTAGAGAACCGAGTGCGGCACCGATCGCAACTCCTAGTGCGGACGTAGTGGACGCTGCCGAGCTTAACGTTAATTCCAACATTGATTCCAATATCCATACCGTCCAATCCGACCTTGAAGTACTCTTATCTGAAAGTGAATTTTTGTTTTCAGATGACTGACAAATTACTAGGGGTTTAATAATTGTAATGTTATCCCTTTTGAAGGCTGTGGAAAATCATTCCGCATTCTCTGAGATGCTCTCTTTATTTTTTTAATGAATTATTATTATTAAGTTTTTGTTTATTTATGGATGAGGGTTTGCTTTGTTCTTTAAAATAAACGTTTTTCTGGATAAGATAATTAAAAAGTAATATGCTTCAACCCACTTTATAATTAGTTATTATTGAGATTCTGCCTTTGCACCTTTAAAAGAATACAATTTTATCTTGGAACATTGTTGTTAAAAAAAATAGGGAATGTATATCTTCTCTATTTATATATAGGGCGACTCAAAATATATAGAACACGCCTATTTTGGAAATTCTCAAAGACTTTTTTTTATTGAAAGATCAAATTACGTATAGAAAAATAAATCGAAGGTTGTCATCTTCACACTCTATTTGCTTCGATTTCCCTTTCTGGTAAAATATGTCCTATATACTTTACCTCTTTTACTTTATATTTATTCTTGTTAAACTTAACCACATTTTATCTAGCCTTATCTAATACTTTTCTCAAAATGTTATCTTCCTCAACATTTTATTGCAAAAATGAGAAGATCGTCCATATATCAGCCGTTTATTTTGAAAGTGACCTAAGTCCATTTATGCTTAAATTGAAATATCTAAGAGTTTGTGTAAATTTTGTTTAACTACATTAATTAAATGTACTAATTATTCAACTAATGCAATTGTCCAAAAACTGAGGTTAACTTGTTAAATACTAATTAATTAAAATTACCTTCATCACTTCCTTTGGATATTATCGATAATGAATATCTTGATTAAAGTATAAATGGACTTAGGCCTCTTTCAAAATAAACGGTTCATATATTCTAACGCTATCTATGTCCCCAAAAAGTTCACTGAATACAGGATGAAAAATTTCTGGTGATTTTACCATACCAAAGAGTAATTTCAAAAATCTAAATCTCCCATGGGGGTGGCAGAAGTTGTTAATTTAGAATCTCTTTCTAATAATTCAATTTGGCAAACACCTTTATTTGCATCTAGGACTGAAAAACTTTGGAACTCTAATTAATATATACCTTGTAATTTCATATTCCCTGATAATTGACTCATTTAGATTTTGTAGATCCAGACAAATTTTGATATTGACATTATCTGGCTTTTTAACAAGTTCAGAGATACTTTCAATAATATTATCATTTACCATCCTATCTAATTCTGGTTTTAATTCGTCCAAAGGATACTCTGCGACATAGTACTATTTTAGGAACATAGCCTTTTTTTAATTTAAAATACACAGGTTCCATATTAATTTTACCTATGCCACTGAATTAGTGATGTGAAATTCTGAAGAACATATTTTTCGAGAACATTCCCTGAGCACGAACGGGCATGAACGAGAATAAACGAGCATAAACAAAAAAAAACGAGAATTTATGTTTGAGGAGTAGTAAAGTATTCAAAAACTTACATTTCGTAGATTTTTTTTGAAAATGCTCAAGATTCTGAAATTGCTAAAATATTCTGTGTTGTAAATAATACAGCCATAACTTCTAACATTAAAGAAAAAAACAACAAAAACTTAAGTAACATAACATTAGTAACATGTAGAAGTATAGTGTAAGAACTTAAATAGAAAATAAAAAACTGAAAATACAATTTTAAATTAAGAAGTGTCACACCTATTAACCTACTCTAGTCTCCATTCCAAACTCCAAGAATTCCATAACATACCCTTCGAAACTTTCTGGCTCAGCGCTGGTATCCCAATGGTGGATATTGTAGAATCCGGTATCCTCATTAGACTCATCAGTCTCCGAGTTCTCAGAAGTTTTTAATAATGGATCCTGAACCTGATCACCCATATCTAAAGGAGCTTTTGTAGTCAAGGAAGTGTCTTTTTTGAAACTTCTAGTTTTTTGTCATTGTCAAAATTATTAAATTCTAATTTTGGTGTCTGAATTAAAGAAATTATATTTGCTTTTTTATTTAGCCAATTTGAGAACTCTACTTATTTAAATTTAGGTTTGTCTATGGTCGAAAGGTGTTCTGTCCAAGAAATTTTGTGAGATGTAGGTAATTTAGATAAAATATCATTTAAAAGGAGAGAATTTTGTAAATGTTCATCTTAATTTAATGATTGAATTGTTGCGACAAAATTACTTACCTCATCACAAAACTCTATAAAGAGGTCTAGTTTCTCTTCTTTTATTACAGGAAATGGTTTCAAATTACTTAGTAACGTATAAATGATATGTTCTGTACGCCCAAAACGAAATTCAAGTAAGTCAATAACCTTTTGTACATTTGTTGGCATAATCAAAAGAGATTGAGTAATTTTTTTTGCATTTCCTTTAAGACATTTTTGAAGTCGACATTGATTTTCCTCATTAGAGAAGCCACAAATAGCATTTGAATTATGAAATTTATAGATAAAGTTAGGCCAGTCTAACGGATTTCCATCAAAATATGGAAGATCCTTCGGAACTGACTGTCTGGACAAAATTTTTGTTATTTGAGGAATTGTCACCTGATCATGATTGCTTTGAGTAATGTCGGGGTAGAGATTTATCTTGCTTGTACATGCAACCTCATTGTCTGACCTGTCCCATGGAGTTTTACCATTGATCCATTCTTCCACGTTAGGTCTTGTTTCATGTACCGCCTCCAGTGCCTCATCACTTTCGCTGTTCTCCTCGTCTATCTTTGCCAGATTTAGTGCCATGTCCAAGTCCATAAGTTCTTGTTCTAGCTTCTTCTTCCTTATCTGACATGCAATTTCTGCAACCCTTCTTCTTGACGTCTTGCTATTTTTAGTATGTGTCGAATCACTTTTTCTATCTCCCATATGGCTTGTGTCCTGCGGTACCACTACAACTGATGGAACTAAACCTTCTGAGCGGACGTCTAATGCAGCCCTTTTTTTCTCAAGGAGTCTGTTACTGCATCTAATTGGCTCTGTCCTTGGTTTCACCATATTGTGTATCCTATTTCGGCTCGAGGACCAACTATTATTTCTTTATTTTAATGGTAATAGTAATTATAAATGAAAATGATACACAAATTGTCTGTCTGAAAAACGTCTATTTCTTTTTTTTTAATAGTTACATAAAACAATTAAAACCATAGTAACATACATTAATGAACTTAATCTTAATCTTTAACAGTATGTATTCAGCTAATTTAACTACAATTGCACTCTCTTGAAGACGAAAATTGTCATTATTTGCAGACAGTGTATTGATAAAATGTATCCTTGAAATAAAGGAAAAAAATCATCAGATCTCGGATTTCTGCTTTTAGGTATTCATGTGTTGTAGTTCTTAGTTTTTATACCCTTTCTCACTATGTTCCTCAGATGATAAATGCGAGCGATGTTGCCAGTTATACCTTATCGGTAGCAATTCATGTAGACCTCTACTGGTTAGACAACTCAAATTTAAAGTAATATAAACTTCGTCTTTGAACAATTTTCTAATATAGTCTTTGTTTACAAAATCTTCACATTTTTGACAGTAGTTTTCTGTATATCTTTTGTTTTTATCCATTTTCCGTTCGGACCAACAAAGTCTCTTAAAGGAATTCATTTTGCTTCCACAACAGACCTGTTTTCATACCTGTTATCAACTCTTTTCATTGTCATATTTAATATTTTTTGGGCACGTTTCTCTTCTGCTGATAAACCTTCCTCATTTTGGCTAAAAATAGATTCCAAAATGTCTAAATCATCTTTAGTATTGATATTTCTACTCTGGATATAACTTAGAACGTCATTTTGGTAGATAATTATTTAGAGGGTCAACCTAATCCATTTCTCTGGAGACCGCTACAAGACATCCTCTTACAGGATAATCTATTACAATTTTGAGTAGGATTTGCACCATTTTCTTAAGGATTCCATGAAGAACGCATCCCAGAGAGGTCCTACTGATTGTAGGACCTGTTATTAACTGTTGAATAACTAACATGAGCCAATTGTTTTGCTCTATTATTGTTTTAGGTTGGACACTACAGGATTTTTGAGGTTTTTTTCCTATTTTTCAATATTATTCAAAGTTTGTAAAATTCCACTGTCTTTTTATTAATTTTATTGATAGGAAAGAAGACATTTAAAATTTAACATAAAAGTTGAACCTGTCAATTATCAAGCATAAATATTAATGCTCATATTAATCATAAATCGAGTATAAATGTCCCCATTACATTGTGAAGGTTCAACTTAATCCTTAATAACATTTTTTTTCTTATTTTGGATTTTTGAGAAAAATGATATTTAGGTTTTCTCTCAACTTCTGCAACACAGTAAAAGATAAACAAGGGGTTTGGTAGCATTCTGTATCGAACTGTTAAATTTGTTACATTTTTATAAAATCTCCAACAGAAAATAATTTACCTTAAAATCAATTTACCCAGTTGAATGTGTTTTTTAATTGTAAGATATAAATGTTTTAAAACTAAAACACGACAGTTGTCATATTGCAATTTAATAAGTAAAAAATATATTTCAGAAAAACGTTTATTTTGGTTTTCAGCTTTATTTATTGTTACTAATTATTTTACTACTTATTTTTCTTAATTAACTACATACTTTGTAAAAAATATCAAAACTTTAAAATTGTGACAATTCGCTTGTTTTATATAAATATGATTTATGAAGTATTATATATAATATGTCGAAAACAAAAGTGATTTAACTTCAAAACCTATAATTTTTAACAAGTTTCCAATTTGAAATTTTTGTGTGTTCAATTTTAGAATACATTTTAAAATTATCAGAAAATTTTTAAAAAATGTATTGTGCCAAATACATTACAAATTATGTTTTTTATACAATAAAAATGGAGGTGTTAACATTTATATTATTTGGAAATAGAAATAATTTTTGATTGTTTAAAATAATTATCTGCAGAAATTTATTAATGTTTTTAATATTATGTAAGTATAAACGATGTTTCAAAAAATATGTGACGTCGTTTGTGGGATAATTGCCC